CTACCGATGACTGTAGGTTTATAGATCTCTTTGACAGGATGCAGCCCACTGACGTTAAAAATGTTTATCTGGAGGAAATGCCTGAGTTGGCTGACACTATAAGGCGTGGGATTACATGTTTGTATGCTACATGGAAGCCGAAAGGTTGCCTAGCTCTTGTTCCAGAGAAACTAAAAACAAACGAGCTGACAGGTGAGGCAGCTTTTTGGCACAATTTTAATAATGCTAAAGTGATCCCTTCTACAAACGTGAGTGATGTAAATGTGGAAAGAGTTATTTTGCTTTATGTGCTGATGAGGGAGGACCCCTTTGACATTGGTAGAGTGCTATCTGATCGGATCCTCAAAGTCATTCAAGATGGCAACAGCAAGAATCGGATTGCACACTCATCACTGATTATGCATCTGTGTGTTAAGGCTGGAGTTGTCATTCTGCCTGAGGAACCCCTAGATGTCCTAGTAGAAAAGACTATGACACTTAAGAACTACGCAGATCTAGTCAAGGAAGCTGAGATTGAGCAGATTGTCCGAGCTTCTAAGTTAACTTCTGAAGAATTAGCTGCTCGAAGCCCCCGCAGAGCACCACGTGCTTCATCAGAGGAGCCACGTCCAGAGACACCCATCCGTGCACGGGCATCCTCTTCTTCCACATTCTGAATTCCACGGCATGACCTCGTCTACGAGGATTCTCCCAGTTATTTACAGATGCAGTCTCAGTTGGACCGTTTGGTCATTCAGAGCGACAGACAAACTATGCAGGGAGATTACCATACTCATATGTTTGAGGACATTTGCAGGCGCATGTCCATTGACTACACTGCCTATCAGCCACAGTATCCACCAGTCCCACCGTCATATCATCCCCCTGCATCACCTCCACCACCAGCGGACCAACACGACACCATGGATGAGGAGTGACTATGGAGGACATCACCTACTTTCCTGCTTTGCTGTTTTTGTTATTTTATTTCTATTTTCATTTTTCGTTGTTTTTGTTTGACCATCTAGGTTTTGGTTCGGGTCATTCGAACCTCTTTGGTATTTTGGGTTGTAATTCTCCGGTACATTGGTCATGTTATTTCTGTTTGACATTTCACATGTGTGTTGTTTATACTTGCGCAGCAATATTTTCTCTGACTATTTTAGTTATTGCTGAGGACAGCAATATTCTAAATCTGGGAATTGGGGCCGCATACACGGCAATCGAGATATCACACACAGAAAAAGGTTCAGCAAATTCATAGCTACTTCAGGGGAGTCATTTTAACCTTTTCTAGTTATTTTCATTTTGATAGAAATTTTTTTTTTTAGTTTCATTTCCTGCTATGTGAAAGCACAGTCCTGATTTAGATGTGCTACTCAGTCAATTCCTTGGTTGAATATGAGGAAGCATTGCATGATATACAGGATTGTCATAACATTGCATAGAGCATGAATAGAGATTATGATTGCTCGTTTGTTTGATTTCTATGATAATGATGCTTAGAATGAAATTAAGAGGAGTCTAGTTTGATACCACAGCTTGTGAGGTTTGTGCCTATACAGTTGAATTTTTTTTTAGAGTGTCCTCACTGCAGTAGTACTCTAGAACTTGATCTAATTCTCTCCAATGCATGTGTTGGTTGAAGTGATAGAGGCATTTTATTCTATTAAGCTTATGGCCAAATAGCTACCTGAGAAATCATCCATTGTTAGCCATGTTGAGCCTGAGACCAATTTTTTTTTAATTACCTTATTAAACTGTTTAAACCACTTCCATCAAAACTTACCTTAATTGAGATTGAAATGTCAATAATCAAAAAGTTAGAAGTGATTGAGGTAAGCTCCACTAGAAGTTAAGCAGTTGAAAAGGAAAAGAGAAGAATAGTTCTCATGTAAGATTGAAGAGGAAAGAAAAATAAATTGCAAAAATTGAAAAGCAATGATGAAGAGAAATGTGAGAAAGAGGATGAATCATGAATTCAAGTAAATAGTGGAGCTGAAACATAAGTTGAGATATGATTGAGTCTTAATGACAATGGTGTTTCAATCTCAATGATTATTCAGCTACTTCCCAAATGATTCTACCTTTAAAGCCAAGCCAAGTTATGACCTTGAGAAGCCCTTTTGATCAGTCATGCATGTGTTGGTGTTCCTCATCTTCAGGAACTTGAGAATAAGATCAAGCTTATGGCAGTGCAACAGCTTTGATGGAATGAGTGATGACAAATATCCCCAAACACTGAGTGATGAGTGAATATTATGTCTTGTGAGGGGTAATCAAGTTAGACTCTGATGTTTGAATGTAGTTGATGAGCATCATCTTAAGTTTGACGTGGGAATCATTCATGCTTAGTATAGTGATCTTTATGATTGTCTGTGCAATGTTGTGCTTGATTGATTGAACCTTGCTTCCCATGCTTAAATTCTGTTTATTGCTGAGGACAGCAACATCTAAATCTGGGAATTGTTTGATGTGCGTCTAGCATATGATGTTTTCTAACTTGAAAGAAGCAAGGAATTAATCATAAATGAGTGAAAATAGTCATTAAATGCAAGAAATATTGATTATTCCTTCTCAATCATGTTCTCACTCAAGTTATATGTTTAAATAGCAGGAAACACCGCAAAAAGGAGCAAAAACGGAGAAACCAAATTTCCCGCTGGCGCACGACGCTCGGAGGTTGGCGCACGGAGCTTCAAACTGGCGCACGGGGCTCGGTACCTGGCGCACGGGGCGCCTTAGCGACGATTTGCTTCTGTTTCGGCCGCGCACGGAGCGCGGGAGGTGGCGCACGACGCTCCAAACTGGCGCCCAGCGCGCGGGAGTTGGCGCACGGCGCGCGGGACTGGCGCACGGCACTCCAGAGTTGGCGCCCGGGGTGCCGTTGACAGATTCAGCTTCTGTTTCTCCCAAGTTTGGGGCGCCAGGCTTGGCGCCCCGTGCGTGGGCGATATATTTTTAAGTGCGAATCAGCTAAAATAAGGCCCAATGGGAGTGCAAGTGAAAAGAGGTTTTCCCAAAACCTAATAAAAGGATCAGAAACAAAGGGAGAAGCACTTTTTGACAACGAAGAAGAGAAAGACAACAAGGAGAGTGGGAATTCCTTGGAGCTTCTCGGAGATTCAAGGATTCGATCGATCAAGAAGGAAGATCTTCATCTTCCCTTTCTCTTCTAGGTTTTAAATGCTACTTTATTTTATTGTTATTTTGTCAGACGTGAACATGTCTGGCTAGTTCTATCATTGTGGTAAGGGTCACAACCCTTGATGTGAACCCCTTGTACCTTGGTTGAATTTTATGTTTATCTATTTTAATTGCATTTATCTTTTCTTGTTCTTCATTCTATAATTCTATTGGCACTGATCAATCTAGTAGGATTGCGAGGGTTAGGGTTTACAATAGGGATGTTGGAATTCTAATTCCTGACAAAGAATAAGATAACTGTTCATGTACGCACTAGGGATAGGCTATATGAACCGCGAACGTTAAAGATTCATTGATTTTAAGGTTAACTCGAAAAGGGATTTCTAGGGGATTAGGATTCTAATAGAGTTGACAAGGTTAAGATCACTAAGGGATTAGGGCTTAACTAATCATATAAAAGATGATGAATTGTTCGATCAATTGAATAGGTAAATGTAAACGTAATCCAAGTTGCAAGGTGGGGATCGGAAAGGTGTTTGTTTCTCTTACCGCAATATTTTCTCAAATATTTTCCCAATCCTTAATCTTTTGTTCTTGCATTCTGAAAACACTTTTGGAATCATTTACATTTTTACTTTAATTATTTTAGTTTGTTTCATGAACTACAATCATTCTCAACCTATTTTGATTAATCCAACAAGAGAGGAATAGTTATAACAACTTAGGTGCCTCAATCCTCGTGGAGACGATACTCTACTCACTCTTTATTACTTGGTACGATCGGTGCACTTGCCGATTATACGCATCAGGCAACCAAAAGTAAGTAATCTGTGTAGAATTACTCTCTAGTCTCTATAATGCATTCTGATTGAGCCTTCAGAATGCCTTTTGGGGAGCAAGTTGGAAGGGAAGTTTGGATAAAAGGCTAATATTTACCATATTGCATTTTTGGTGTAATTCAACTTACATTAGTGTAAGAATAATAAGTCTTACACGTAATCCCAGTTGCTGATCTACTTGCATCCAACAGTTGTAATTTATTGAGTTACATCCATTAATCAATTACTAAATTACAACAATAACGAGTGTAAGAGTTGTTATTCCTACACTGATGTAAGTTGATCTTATCCTTTAAATTTACTCATAAATTTTCATTATACATTATCTTAATAATTTTCCGAGTAACTTCATTTAATCTAACCAAATGAAACTCACATCTACAAAATTACATTTTAGTGAACATTCTCAAACATAAAATAAAAGCAAACTACATTCTCCTCAAAAGTAATGCTATGCCAATTACCTAAATAATGAAGGACTATTCTAGTGCATTTCATTGTTGGCTTCAATGATTTCTATGTGCTTTGATTTATTTTGATTGTATTTGGTTCTCCCAAGCTTTAAGTTTACAGCCGATTTTTTTTTAATGAACTTCTTTAACACACATTGGTGTGTTGTGCATGTATGTGTGTATCTTCCAACATATGCCAAACCAATTAACTTCGGGCAATCAATGGAATGCCAAGTATCAACTTCATTATTGCTCTATACTGAACCAATAAGAAGCTTGGACCATGCCTCACAGCAAGAATATGCAAAAAATACATGCTTTTTACAGCAGAGAATTAAACCAATCATGTGTGTGCGTGCGTTCCATACGCCAAGCCAATTAATTTTGCAGCTCCACCAGCTGAAAATTAGTTTCTTAGATTTAGTTTTACCTCAAAGAGAATAGATGTGTCTGCTCCAAGAATTCAAATAAATAAATAAATATTTCTCCATGAATCAAGCAATATTAATATTTTGTACAGGAAAAATTCATTCCCCAAAATTAAATATATTGAATTAAAGTGACCAGGTGGCGAAAAGCATACCACTCTTATTGTCACCCCCACCGACAATGAACCAATTCTCCCCTACTGTCATACCAGCATGTCCAGCACGTGGGGTTGGTATTTCACCCAGTTGTGTTGGGCGAGACCATTCCATCTGTATTGGTCACATAGATGATTAGATGAAGATGATTTTTCTGGTCCACAGCCTAATAGAAGAGGCAATGGTCTTACAGTTTGCAAATCGAGAACGTGTAAATCATTATAACAAATTGCATGAGAACCCCCACCAAAGATAAGTAAGTATCGCTCCACATGCACAGCAGCAGCATGATCAGACCTTGGAGAAGGAGGTACCCCACTGCAGTTGAGACTTCTTTAGTATCAAACCTTAACAAGTTTTCTTTTTCATTCTTTTCTCTCTTTATAGGAATAAGAAAATCAGGATATAGCATATTCACCACTAATGAAAATGAGTAATATAATATACCATGAATCAAAACCAGATTTTGGCAAAAGCAAAGAAAATGGCTGCAAAACATAGTCAAACTTCAATTTGTTCTTGTTTCTTTTTCTCTTAAATCATTAACATTCCCCCAGCATATTAATCAAAACGTCCATATACCCCTCTCCCTCACCCCACCCCAAAAAAAAAGTGTAAAATAAGAAACCAGCGAGATAGTAAGGTTGCTTCATGAAACTTCTTACACAGCATCAATTTCATCCCATGTCATGGTTTCCAAGTCTAGAATATGCAGATCATTCAACAGAGTTCTCTTAGCATCTTGTCCTCCAAAAATTACTAAGCTTGTCCCAACTAAGGTAACTGATTGGCCTCCACGTGATACCTAAAAAGAACACATGAAAAAGTGGAACTTATTAGTACATTACTGTTTTTCCTTAAAAAAAAATGCAATATTGTATCATATTTTCAAAAGTCATTAAATTTGTCAACAGTTGTTAGGATGATAAGATTCTAAGAATTTTGGTTAATAAGCATAAAAGGAAGAATAATAGATACGTACCGGGGGTTTCCCATAAGTCTTTAGAGTTGACCAAGTTTCCTTTTGCAGGTCAAACACTTTCACTGTCATAATATTAATTAATATTTAATAACATTAAAATGGAAGCTTAATTGTAATTACAATAGAAAAGAAGATAAACAACAAAAAGCAATACAGAAGTAGGGAAAAAGCCACTAAACGAGGGGAAAACACCATGGTAATGGACATAGATTGAATCGATGTAACAAACTGCTACAAGTTTTTATTGTTCAATTAAAAAATCATGTGAAGGACAAAAAAAAAACAATTACTAACAAAATTTGTCACATAAATGCTCTACTTAAGTATGTACACAAAAACTTTATCACTCCCAACAATCTTGATTGCTTTTCTTCTTCAAGGTGAAGAGAGTAATAGAATCTTGCTTTTTAGTTTTATACTGGAGTAACGAGTAAAACATCAAATTTCTTAAAACTTATCCGCTGAAATTCATCTAAATGGCACAGTTTCCCATTTATAGATGTTTTAAGTTTTGCATGCAAACCCCCGATAGAATGATAAGACATAATAACATTATTGTTGTATACCTTGGATACTTTCGCCAGGATCTTTTGTATGCCCAGCAATTGACAGGAGTTTATTTTCCCATGGAATCTAGTGACAAAGTTTCAATCATCAAATCCCAAATAATCTAGAATTAGAACTGGCAAATAACAAAAAAACACATTGAATATAGCAGATAAGATTATATGGGGTTTTTCAAATGAGAAAGAAATTTTTTCAATACAAACCAGAGAATGGCCAGCACAAGGGGATAACGTTACTGAGGATGACGAGTCAGTAGGCTCAACTACAACCTTAGCATCAATCTTCAACCAAGTCCAAGTTCTCAAATCTAGAACCTGTATTTGTTTCAATGTAATTCAAAGTGAATAGTCAACTCAAAAGGGAGATGAAGAAAAGTTTAGCTGTAAAAGCACAAGATAAGTCATCACTTAAACCAAGATTTGTGGTTTCTATCAACCTCACAAGATATATTACTACTTAGCCAAAATGAATAGCTTCACACAACAAAGATATAGAACAATATGCTTACATGAAGATCATTAAGGTATCGACCATTGTGGTTTCCACCATATATGTACATTTTATCTAGCACGACCGCAGCTCCATGCTGAAGGTACAAAGACACATTAACTCAGAAAAAGAGTAAATTAATAGACCAAAAGTGAAAAACTAGAGAAGAAGAATGAATTTTTCATTTTTATATTTTGCATGAGCCAATACCTCATATCTGGCTTTTGGAGATGGACCAGATACTGGAGGTGCAATCCATTGATCATAAACCCCAATAGAACCAAAGCCTTCAGTGACAACATCTTTATCCTGGGTTCCAACTTGACTTCCGTTTTCAGTTGAAATAGTCTTTATCTCTGGATAAGAGTTCCCATTCTCGATTGCTGGTTCAACTTTGGAATTGTGCTGTAAAACCAGCAAGACAGAATGGAAGGAGGAGAAATTACAATGCTGAAAGTAAAGTGGAGAAAAACATGATTTCCTCATTGTACTTCTCTTCATGTAACTTTATAGTGACATGTCTCTTACATTAATTTAAATCTAAAAGATCAAATCCTAAATGCCATATCAATAAATCAGGAAATGATTTACAACAAAATCAGTAAACTGAATCTCAGTTGCACAAGAATTGGTTGCATTCCTAGTGGGTGAAAGGTTGTAAGAACACAGTGGGACATACATATACAAGATGTCAAATTCTTATCTTTGAAAAAACAGATTTCTTGCTTATTTAATCAAGAATAAGACCATATTCTGATCTTTTAGTAATTCTATTCTAAAGGTATTCTGAATGAAAACGATAGATGGATATAACAAGTATAGGCCATAGCAAGTCATCAGCAAAAGTAAAGATGAAACCTATGTATACCATCCGGACAAAATGCCATAGAGAGAAAAGGACTCAGCATTATACATAACCTTAATAATACTCACATTCATTTGCACATCAATAACAGGGTCTACAATGGAGTTAGATGCTCTAGAATACCAACCAGGATCTTCTTCCTACACAACAAAGGAAAATAAGAACTAAAGTAATCAGCTAACATTCTGCATTATACCAATGAAGAATGGTGAAATAAAATTATTAGCCTGACCTCCAATATTTTCACAAACAGACGCATGGCTTCGGTGGAAGACATGTTTCCAAGCTGGTTCCAGCTGCATCAACAACTACTTCTTTGTAATGATATTCTCAACAAAATGAAAGCAGTGATGCAAGAATGCAAGTTGCAAGAATAATATTAAATAAACCAGATAAAAATCAGTGCAGTAAAATAAACAAAATATTTGCATAATATAAATGGCATGGAGAAGCATGGTAAAATCAAAATTACATACAAAAACAGAGTAAAGGGATCAGGGAGACCGTATAAAAAATAGCATAGAGAAAGCAGAGGCAGGAAGAATGTTTAAAGCACACAAACCTGGCCCATTTGCTATGCTCCACAATCTTCCATGAACTGGGTTCTGGGATGTTACAACGTCCTATGCTAGCCTGACATAACAAATTAAGCATTAAATTTGTATACAATCCTCTAGGATAAATCCCTAATTCAACTCCAAACATATATCAGCATATCAGACAAAATAACAAAACCCCATTTGATAGGAGGAAGCTAGATCGGTAGGTAGGATCATTAGCAAATCAACATTTAACTCCTTAGTATTTAAAATGGGACTAAAGTTGATTTGTGAGCATTTCATCAGAATCTAGGCTCATCTAATTTTACAACTATTGCTTAGAAGACCATTAAGTCCTATAAATTATTTAAAACTCTTGTTCCCATCACGCAATCCAAAAACCAGATCTACCAAACAATTACATCCCCATAGCAATTGCAAGCCCACTTAATTGATCACAAAACAAAACAAGCTTGAAATAACAAAAATTAAAAACCGCAATTCCACATTCATATGCATTGGAATTATAGCAAATGGAGATAGGTGGGAGCAGGCAATGCGCGCCAAATCCAAGGGATCCAAAATGCAGAAATGAAAAAGATGATGAGAAATGGTACCTGTTGATACAAGCTATAGAGAAGAAGAGCGGTGGATTTCGGAAACTTTGAGGTGAGGGATTTGGTCGGAGAAGTGGATCCGTCGAATCCAACGTATGAGGCTGCGGCGTAGAAGCGCTCTGGGTATTGCAGACCAGAGCTTAATCTCGCCATCGCCATCGCTATCTCTCTCTCTCTCTCTCTCTCTCTCTCTTGCTTGGACTTCACTCTTCACTTCAGATCACACCAATTCAATTTAATCAAACTCTCGTACAGTTACACCAACATATACGATAATGGTTCTTGAGGAGTTGAGGTTGAGGTTTTATAATTTACAACAAAATTGGGATTACAACACAAACAATGTTTTATTACATGTTAATGTTAATTTGTCTGCAATTGCAAACTTCACATATCCACTATAGTTGACCAAAATTTAGCATATATCCCCCAAGTTTTTCATAATTACGCAGTGTCAGTGTCTATGCTTATTTATTTGTCTTTTTGCACTATACTTTGTTCTTCCTTTATTTTATTTTATTTATTTTTGACTTATGATAATAAAGCTTGCTGCACCAAAGTCTTTACCAATGAGAAAAAATTGACTGTAACAAAAATATGATAATAAAAAAAGGAGGGATATTCTTACTACCAAAATTTTTCACTACTAACTTATTATCTATCTAATCACCATTAGATTAACATTTTCTCTCTTTTTAAAAACTTTTTAGGATTCTCTCTATTTAATTCAACGATGATGTGATGGGTAGTAAGTTAGTAGAAAAAAAATTTGATAATTAGAATATCCTTACACTTAAAAAAATGTATAGCTACACTTTTAAAGCTCGAAGGCTAGTAAAATATTTTTTCCCCTCCCCTTTTATTACTGGGGCTTGCTTTTCTGTTGTTATTGCGCACATATATTTTTGTATGGCTTAGGAAATTATATTTTCTAATAATTATTGTGGGTCACATATTATATTAATAATAATATTATGCTATTTATATATATTGGGTAAATTAAAGTGATCAGTTAAATATTTTCAAATAGATTCCTAAGTGAGTATGGGCTGAATGAGTGGATACCGGTGTTGGAGCAACTAGGTATAATGGAAGCTTATTGACCCAACAATAAAGATAAAAACACTATAAGGGTTATGGTCCCCAAGACGTCAAATTAACAACCCTAGTTTCTCTTCCCCATCAAGAGAGAGACGGCGCACTAAAAAATTCAGTTTTAGGGTGATTTGACTGAGGAAGACTATAAACCCCAAGAGACAAGGTCAAAGTTATTCCGCTGCAATGGAGACAGGTATGCCTCCACCTTTGTGCTCTTATTTCTTTATGATTTAGTATAATGAAGATTGGCTTGTAGGTGATAGTTATCACCAAAAGGTTTAGAGGAATTAAAAATTCCAACAATTGGTATCAGAGCCATCGTCATATTGAATTATGAGGGAATTAAGTTTTGTGATTTTTATATATGATGAATCATGAAAAGTTTTGCTTTATTATCTTTTGGCATAAAGTTTATTATTTTTTGAGCGTGGGTTCCATCTTATGTATTTTGTATTAGCTATGTAGTGTTATTTTTGTTCCCTGACGGTGATTTTTTGGTTTTGGAACAAAAGCTACATTTAAAAAAAAAAACTAGGATTCACAGTTTAATAAGGGTTTATTATTTAAATTTTGAATCTGTGAATAGATGGAATGTTTGAAAGAATTTTGGCTTTATAATCGATGAGATTTTGTTGCTTGAATTTTTTGAATAAACAATGAATTCTCTTAGAAAATTTTGGACTTACGGTTTGAAAGAAATCAAATGTTTAAGGTATTTGGTTTTGGGGTTTTCCTTATATTTGATATTCTTTGTTAAAAGCTAAATATAATTTATTTATTTTTTTGGTATTATGCATCATTTTCAAACTTTCATTTGAAAAGGCTTACATGAGCGTCGATTGTACATTAATTTTTAAGCCTTATAATGAAAAGGTATTTATTGTATGCATCATTTTCAAGCTTTCATTTGAAAAGGCTTACATGTGCGTTGTTTGTGCATTAATTTTTAAGCCTTATAATGAAAAGGTATTTATTGTTAATGGTATAATGATATAATGATATAGTATGTATGTATATACATTGAGGATTGATAAAGAATAATTTTCTTTATTGTTGTTATTTTGTTTTTAAATGGGTTTATTATCCCTAAAGGTTTCTATTTGAAATTAAATATGATAGATTTGTTAGCCGCCACAGTGGCCAAATTTATAAAGGTTAATTTGATTTCAAATAGGTTGGTCGTATAAATATATTTTATTTATGCAAATATTAAATGGCCCACAGGAAGGTTATTGTTTGGCCAAATAACATATGTTGTGTGATCATGTGTGTGTTTATTGCTTATGTGGATAGTGATCGGCCCACAGGAAGATTATTATTTGGCCAAGTAACAAACATACCTGTGGTAATAAATATGTGACAATTATCAAGAATTCTCCATGTAATTCATAGTCGGCCCACAGGAAGGCTGTGATTTGACAGGACTTATTGTCAATGTTTGATTACTACATTAAGAGTACCACTTACAAGTTGATATTTTTGTCCACAGACTAAATATTAATGTTGTGCTAGGTATCTTATAATAAACTCATTTTACTTCGGATTATTTGTCTATATCGTGTATGAATATATAGGATATGACATGTTATTAGTATGTTATCTTTATTGGTTCTCTGTATAGTTTCTGCTACCGCTGCCAATTATATTGCTCAAATGAATATGCTTCCAATGCTTAATGGGGAAAATTTCAAGCTGTGAAAAGAGAATGTGAAAATTGTTCTTGGCTGCATGGATATCGACAATGTGCTAAGGACTGAGAAACTCACTTCCACTCAGGAAAATCCAAACACAGATAAAATTGAGAAGTGGGAACGCTCAAATCGCATGTGTCTGATGATCATGAAACGTTGCGTTCCGGAGACGTTTAGGGGCTCGATTGTTGAAACTACTGATGACAAGTTATTTCTGAAGGAACTCGAGCAATACTTTGCTCGAAATGAAAAGGCTGAAATTGGTCAAACCTTGTCCAAACTCATAAACATGCGGTATAAAGGAAAGGGAAACATAAGGGAGTACATTATGGAAATGTCTAATATTGCTGGAAAACTAAAGACATTAAAGTTAGAGCTGCCCTATGAGTTGCTCATGTACTTAGTTATTATCTCTCTTCCTGCACAATACAATCAATTTGTGGTGAGTTATAACACTCAAAAGGAGAAATGGACTCTTAATGAGCTCGTTTCTCACTGCGTGCAAGAGGAAGAGAAGTTACAGCCAGAGAAGTGATAGTACTCACTTGGCATCAACCTCTCAAGACATGAAAAGAAAGAGAGCTTAGGATAATGCGGATGCTTTGGCAAAGAAGCAAAAGAAGCAGGACCATGAATTCACCTGCTTCTTTTGTAAGAAATCTGGACACATGAAGAAAGAGTGTTTCAAATACAAGGCATGGCGCGAAAAGAAGGGTATGACTCTCACTTTAGTTTGTTGGTACTGGTTCTGTGGCACAAGCGTTTAGGTCATATCTCTAAACAGAGAATTCAGAGGCTTGTGACATGGAATTCTTGAACCCCTTGATCTGGATGATTTTGAGGTGTGCATTGAATGCATAAAGGGGAAACATACAAACATAAGGAAAATGGGTTCCAACAGAGCTTCAGACGTCTTAGAATTGATTCATACGGATATTTGTGGACTATTTCCTATAGCCTCTTGGAATGGTCAACAATACTTTATCACATTCATAGACGACTATTCAAGATTTGGATACCTATATTTGATTAGAGAGAAGTCACAATCATTGGATGTGTTCAAAGAATTTAAAGCTGAAGTTGAACTTCAGTTAGGCAAGAAAATTAAGGCTATTAGATCTGATCGTGGTGGTGAATACTATGGTAGATATGATGGATCAGGTGAACAACGTCCAGGGCCCTTTGCGATCTTCCTAAAGAAGTGTGGAATCGTCCCGCAATACACAATGCCAGGTAAACCTAACATGAATGGTGTTGCGAAAAGGCGAAACCAGACTCTTAAAGACATGGTGAGGAGTATGCTTAGTCATTCTTCATTGCCATAATCACTTTGGGGAGAAGCACTAAAGACTGCAGTTTATATCCTTAATAGGGTTCCCAGCAAAGCAGTGACAAAAACCCCTTATGAGCAATGGAATGGAAAGAAACCTAGCATAAGGCATTTACACATTTGGGGTTACCAGCAGTAGTAAGTCCTTATAGGCCAAATGAAAGAAAGTTTGACTCAAGAACAATCAGCCGCTATTTTGTTGGATATGCTGAACGCTCTCGGGGCTGTACGTTTTATAATCCCACTACAAGATCCTTTTTTGAGACGGGAAATGCCAGATTCCTTGAGGATGTTGAGTTTGGGGGGGAGATAAAATAAGGAATGTTGTCTTTGATGAGAAAGAAAATTATAGTTCTCTTCCTAATATTGTCATCATTCAAGATGCAATCACGGAACAATCAATTAATGATCAGGTCCTTGTTCATGACATTGTTATGGAACAGGCTTTGGTCCCTGACATTGCTTTGGGTCAAGACAATAATGAACCACCCCCTATGCCACCTATAGAACAAACTCAAGAAGTGCCATTAAGGAGATCCACTAGAGAAAGGAGAAATTGAATTCTGGATGATTATATTGTGTTTCTTCAAGAGCATGAAAATATTTTAAGCTTGAAGGAAGATGATCCAATCAACTTCCAACAAGTCTTAGAAAGCTCTAATGCTCATAAATGGATTGATGCCATGAAAGATGAGATGCAATCTATGAAAGACAACGACGTTTGGGATCTTATTGAGTTGCCTAAAGGTGCGAAACCCATTGGTTGTAAATGGATATTTAAAACCAAAAGGGATTCAAATGGCAACATCGAAAGATATAAGGCACGTCTAGTTGCTAGAGGTTTCACTCAGAAAGAAGGCATAGACTATAAAGAGACTTTCTCTCCGATTTCTACGAAGGACTCTCTTTTAGGACAATAATGGCGCTTGTGGCTCATTTGGATTTGGAGCTACTTTAGATGGACATAAAGACAACGTTTCTCAATGGTAACATTGATGAGACAATTTATATGGTGCAACCAGAAAACTTTGTATTGGGAGATTCAAAGTCTATGGTTTGCAAATTGAAAATGTCCATCTATGGCCTTAAGCAAGCTTCTCGTCAATGGTACCACAAATTCCATCAGGTTATTACTCCTATGGCTTTGAGGTGAATTTAGTGGAAGATTGTGTGTATCACAAGTTCAGTGGGAGTAAATTGATAAGTGTCCAAGACACTATGTTTTTATGGTTAAAAAG